CAGAGCTCTGGCCATTCATTGCATCCTGCATGGTAGAGGGGTGTGCTTGCTTCACTTGTATCTTAAGTTGTGGACTGTCCAAGGCATCTACGAACTGATACCTCAGCAACAACTTGAGGAGATCGGGTGGTGCAGTTGGGTAGGCCTTGTGTGCCATGCTCTCCAAGTCCTGTGCCAGCTCTTGCAGGCTCTCCCCTTTAGCACGGACTCTCGTCTTGAACCTGGCCCTGTAGATTTCTGACTGGTTTTGGGTTCCATACCTGAGTTCTAGAGCCGACACCAGTGTTCTATAGTTGTGTTTGTCGGCGGCTGTCAACTGTCCAAGTATTTCCAGTGGTTGTCCCTTCAAGCTCGTTGCCAGATATACAGCTCTCTGTTCCTGTGTCCATCCATTCATTTCTGCCAGGAGCTCAAATTGTGCCCTATATGTTTCCCACGGTGCCTTCCTATCGAATTCCTGTGGGTTCCTTCGCACTGGATCACTTCTATTACTGACATTCATATCTGGGATGTGACTTCTAACGGGACTGAATATGTCTGCATTAGGGTTTAGCTGCGGGCTCTGTAAGGAGCTTGCCATCGTCTGGGGTTGATTAAGTCGATGGTCAATGTATCCTCCTTGTGTAAAAAACAATAGATCGTCCTTTAACGTATCTAATTCGCTTTTAAATTTACTAATGTTTTCCATTTGTACTTCTTGTTTCCTTTCTTGTTCCAGTTGCAACTGCTGTAGTCTCTCTTCTTGTTTCTTTTCTCGTTCTTCTTGTTTCTTTTCTTTTTCCTCCAACAACTGCTGTAATCTCTCTTGTTTATTTTGCTGTTCGAGCTGCCACTGTTGCAGGTTTTCTTGCAACTGCTGTTGTCTCTCTTCTTGTTTCTTTTCGTTTTCCTCTGACAACTGTTGTAATTTCTCTTCTTGTTCTTCTTGTTTCTTTTGCTGTTCTTGTATTGCTGCCATCAAGTCTGCTATGCTGTAGTTTGATTTGCCGCTTCTCGTTTCCATTTTTTTTGTCCCACTCTCTGACACCAATTTCTTACGTCTCTGTTCGTTAGTTGATTTTTCGTAACTCCGTTCCCACAAAACTTTAGCGACACAAGTCCTTTCTTAATAAAACTGGTTTATTCTTTCTGAATATAACTTTACCGATACACTTATTTTCAACAGTCGCTCTATAACCAACGCTATAACAACGAACGTTAACTTCAACAATACTTTCTGACTGCAGTTCAATTACTCAATACCTACACACATTGTCACGTCACGCCGTGACCATTTTCTATATACCAGACCACCCCTAATCTAGCAAATGCTAGAGCACTCCCGAAGGAACAGGATAGTTCTAGAAAACGGGTGGCGTGATACTAGTCACGTGATCTCGCTGACGCAACAATATTATTCATACCTTCGGTGTATAGGAAGCAAGCAGATTTTGACATCAAATTTTGGGGTAAAAAGTGCGTCTTATACACCAAAGAATACGGTAGATATGATACGTCAATATTCAGATATTAATTGGCCTCATAACTTCCATAACATGAAGCTGACATTTCTAACAAAAAACTAAGGGAAATGCTGTAATTATGTTTTTTTGAAATCACAGTTAGTGCTTCTATTCGTTTTGAACTGCATATAAAATAATTCACTAGTAAATATCTGTTATGACTATCAAGAGTCACAGTAAGTGAAAATCCTTATTTTCTGTGTTTTAAATTTGAGATTGAATAGTTATATACATAAGAAAGTATGCATATGTAGCAAGCAAAATTTATATTCAAATATTTTACTTCTAGTGGTACTATGGTATTCTCAGATTATAAGATTTTCTTACAACTGTGTGTTAGATAGACCCGCAAATAACAGCAAGTTATTCCAGGAATTAAGGAGAATTTCTGTATAAGATAATCGAACTGAATTATTTTTTAGGTGTGTGGAATAAAAAGTTCTGACTACTTTGAAAGATTGAACAAAACTTTATTTCACATACAAAACAAAAACAAAAAACACAATAGGCATACCTATGTGGACATCTGGATAGTCCATTTTATAGGCTTTCTGCTAGATTGTGTCTCGCCTTGCAGCCTCTTTTCTGTCTCTAGATTGATCGCTATTGAAATTAAACACATTGATATCTAAACAGCAGGTCCTACTCGTAGGTCGTCTAATAGAATATTAAACCAAAAAAGTGTGCTCAAATTTAGCATGTACACTCATTACTTTGCCCACTGGATGGCGTCACCTTGTGATCTTTGTTCTCTCACATCATTGCTCAGTTATCACCTTCAGTCAACATCAAAATCATCCAGAAAAGGATATCCCAGTGCCAACGGCTTCAACCTAGATGTTCGATACAATACTGAAATATCTTTCCTTAGGGGCAGAGAAGAAGTCACCTGTGAAACAGCTTTTTGAACCACATGTTTCTGCCATGATGGCGTGGAAACTAAGTAATAAAAAAATGAAACTTTTTACGTTAGTACAGAAGGTAGAAAACACATATTATGCCTGCCTACCTATTTTTCTCACTTCTCTCTCTTAGCTTTGTATTCAGGTCAACAACTAAAGTTTCACTTTAAACTTAATCATATTTAACTCACAACTCACATGTTAACTTTTACTT